AAGTTTTTAATGGAAAGGCCTTTAGTGTCCTTAGTTTTCAGATTAGTTTCCTGTAGGAGGAGGAAATCGGCTTCACGATTTCGAAGAAAGAGCTTAAGTTCTGGGAGGTTATTTCGCAAACCGCGAATATTAAAGCATACAAGCGATAAACCCTTAGGTTTTATACGACCGTGAGACTTTGGTAGAGCAGACTGCTCTGTCATTGTGAAGTTAAGTTAATTAAGTTAACTTAACTTACAACGAGCACAAAAGATTATGATGCTCTGCAAGAGCGAGGAGACGGTCCTGAGGGGACCTCGCAGTGCGCAATTTGCGTGCTAACACAGCGATTTCCCCAACGTCGATGTTGCTAATAGCGGAATACACCGTTTTTAGGTCATCTGCCATTGAGGGCTGTGATTGTTGTGGGGCGGAGGATGTCCGCGGTGGGTCTGCCTTTTTGGGGCCCCAGGGAAAAACTGGAGGCTGCATAGGCAGAGAGAAGCCCGGAGGGGGCCGATTGGTGCCCTTAGGGGGCCTAGGGGAACACTGAGGGAGCCGAGAGAAGCCTGGAGGGGCTGAGAAAAGCCCTGACGGGGCAATCTAGGATAGAGAGCTGGGTATGATCAGTCATTGACCGGCGGTGGAGCTTGCCTAATGGGGCGAGGATGAGGTGCGCAAGGGCAGCCTCTGTAATTTGCCGGGTGGCCTGTTTGTTTACACAGGACGCACGCGGGTGGGGATTCGGCGTCTTTGGGCCGAGGACACTCTTTAATGTTGTGGGGTTCAAGGCACTTAACGTACCTGGGTGGGGCGGAGCAGTTGGCCGCCGCATGGCCATATAGTTGGCAGCGGTGGCACTGCGCCGAGAACCCGCGCCTATGTAGGGGCTTAACCCCCGCCGCATGGCCATATAGTTGGCAGCGGTGGCACTGCGCCGGGAACCCGCGCCTATGTAGGGGCTTAACCCTCACTCCGGCAGGTAAGCACACACTGTGCTTACCTGCCGGAAGATGGCTTTTGCCTCCGGCACGTTATAAAGGATGACGAGGGCAAGCGAGAATCTCTGGCCTGTTCTAATGTGCATTTTGTGCACGGCTTCTATGAGGAAATCCTTGGGACTTAAGGTCCTCAAGGATTTCCTCGTTGGAAAATTCGAAAGGGACACCGCGGATGACGGCCCTGACTTTGCGCTCTTTCGGAAGAGCGAACGTATGGTAAGAAACTCGTCCGGCTGTGAATAGCCTGGTGAGACGACGGAAGTCGTCGATTGATCAAAAAGGAACGTGTGACGACGCGATAGTAGTCTGGGCTCTGAAGTCGGGGATTTAATTCTTTGATGCACTTTATCTTAACGCCGGCACAAGATGATATTATCTAATTCACATCATGAGATGCCTATGTTCATCACTGATGAACATAGGCATCTATCAAGTAATGCCACAAAGCACGGTCCAGAGCCATCTGCATTCTGCATACATCGACTTCCTGTATTTTTTTGACCGACCTTTTTGTATTTTCGTCCGATAAAAGTCATTGTATTTTAAAACTGTACTCTAAAGTACTTGTATCCATTAATATCGTTGCCTTTATACTCGAGAATATATGTCTGTTGTTTTTTTTTAATTTCAAGTAGTCGTGTAAATATAAGAAACTATTTTTGAAGTCGGTTTTTTCTTGATTTTAGTTTTAATGTACTACAAACATTATTTTGATTGGGTATTCCCATTCCTACGTGTCTTATGTTTATAAAATAATATGGCATATAATCATTAATTACTTTTGTGTTAAAGTCAATTTCATAAGGTAAAAATAATAGAATAATTGTAATATCATTGTGTCCAAATGGATAGACAAAATACCCGTTTCCCGCAAACCGGCTGCTAAGTCATCTCAGCACCATCATATCTTAATAGTCATTATCAATGTTGCAGTGACCTTACATAACCTGTTTCATAAACAGCTGCGTGTTGCAAGTATAATAAAATTTGCAATAAATTTAGGAAATTTCTGATTATGCTTTTTAAATTGAATACTTCACGTATTTACCACGTGCTCGGCGGTGAAGGAATACATCGTGAGGAAACCTGCATGTCCGAGAAATAAAAAAAACATTTTTTGAAGACATGTGAAGTTCGCCTACACGCATTGGGACAGCGCGGCGGACATTTCCTTGCTCTAAAACCCTCTCAGAAATGAAAGAAGGCCTGTAACCAGCTGATGGACGTATATAGTCTGTAACTTTAACTTTTTTAACTTGACGTGTTGACGAACTCGTAAGGCATTCAGTAAGTCTGAGCATCCAGGTAACTGAGGACCGTGTTTTGTAGCGTTCCTTATGGGAAGCATATATTCTTTAGTAAACATATCAAGGAACTGGACTGTATAAGCAGCGGCACGAAAGTCTAGCGGTGACCGTTATTGCGGATAAGTCACGCTGTTTGGCTTATTGCGCATAAGTCGCGCTGATTGGCTCGTGCGTATCATTCGCACGCGCTAATTGGCTCTGAAGTCGCATTCGTGCAATTTAATTCGTGCGCGTTCCCGCTGAACAAAACGATCCTTCGTTTAGTTCAGCGCTAGACTTACATACGTGCGGTGACTTGTAGCAATGATGATGATTTAATTTTTTCGACTGTAATTTAGTGTGTAATCAGTTATTTGTCCACATATATCTCACTGTTGGGCATCTGGAATCCGCACTGCTTCGGAGATATTTGGCTAACATTATACCAAATATTATGCTGATATCACTATATTCTACCTCTGCACTGATCATCATCTGGGCACGTGGCAATTCAGCACGAAAGATTGTGATTAGTAATTTTAGTGGTATCGACAGGAATCGAACTGATGTACACGCGTACTATTAAATCGAGATGAGCACCGAGCTTCTGATTTACCACAATATATGGGGGAGAGATGAGGGAAATCATCAGTCAAGTGCGAGTCGGACACGTGTATGAAGGGTTCCGTACTATTATAATACACGTTTCTAGTAGGATAGCACCTTTTTAATTTAAATTTATTTAAATTTTTATTATTTTTTGTTATAGCGGCAACAGAAATACACATTCTGCGAAAATTTTAACTGTCTACCTTTTACAGATCAAGAGATATAGCCCGCTAGCAGACGGACGGACGGAAGGAAGGCAGGGGCTTAGTAATAGGGTCCCGTCGGTTACCCTTTAGTTACGGAACCTTAAAAATGGATTGAAAAGGAAATAAATATGAATCATAATGTTTTCTTATATTTACACGAATACTAGACATTGAATAAAACTCATTTTACAGATTTTATTGCGTTCAATTTCACTTATTTTCACGAAACGTCGAGAAATAGAAATAAGTTCAAATAAACGCGATAACATCTGTAAAATTCATTTACTTAAAATGTATGAATCACTTCAGAAGAAGTAAAATTACCTCTTATATACGTGCCACTGTTACTGTCATAGTTCACGCACCGTTATTTACGGTTGGTGAAAACGTAGAAAACTGTAGAGATACGTAAGAGGTAGGCAGGAATTTCACGGCTTAATTCGTCCCTCTCTATTCCATCAACGTACAACTAGACGCTCAGCTGGTCTCCACTCCGTTGTCGGCAAACCACGCATTCGAACCAAACGGCGAAGGAGTAGAATAATGTGCCAGCATCTCTATTTCCATCCGACTATAATGTAAGTGTGTTTAAAGCAAGAGTGAATAGGCTTTTGTTAAGCTAGTGCTCTTTACCACTTACCGAGGTGAGATAGTAGTCAAGCACTGGTTTATAATAGTAAAAAAACCGCACAAGTGTGAGTCGGTCTCGCGCATGATGGGTTTCGTAACATCGTAAAACACGTTTCTAGTAGGGGGGCCCCCTTTAGTTTTGGAATGAAGTTCTTTATCGGACGGTACGGATTTGGCGGATATGGGCTAGGCGCTAGGCGACAAAAAGTGTAAGATTTTTCCGTCACTACCCCTTCGCACGTAGTGTAGACGGCCTTGGCGGCTATAAGGAAGCGAGATAGAATATTATCTATCTCCCTCGCACTTTTTCTTATCTTGCCATGAAAGAAATATTATTTTATTTTAGGTGACTCTTCATTTTAATAGACGCTAGTAATTCATTTATTTGTATTTGTTAATCAATAAAATAATACGTTTATCAATAATATTATACTACAAAGGAACTTCGTTCCAACCGAGTGTTCCACGACACTCACGCATGTTTTTTTAATTTATTTATATTATTTGTGTAATTATAAGCGGCAACAGAAATACACTTTCTGTGAAAATTTCAACTGTCTACCTATTACTGACAGACACACGGACGAACGAACGGACGGATGAACGGACGCACGGACGGACAGCGGAGGCTTAGTAATAGGGTTACGTTGGTTACCCTTCGGGAACGGAACCCTAAAAACGGATGGCATTACTAATGACATATCTTTTATTACATCATGTAGAAGACTCATGCAGCTCTTGATTTATTAGTTGTCTGTTTACGAGATAAAGAAGAATGTGTTTGAATACGGTAAATTAAATAGACGTGTCAGAACTTTCTGATTAAAAAAAGTACGGACATAGGTTTTGTTAAGTGAGATAAAAGATTTTACTATTGTATCAAAACTTTTATGTAAAAACATATTCTCGAACTGTATTTAAATTCTAACCTTTAAATAAATTATATTTTGAAACACATTAGAAGTACAAAACTTAAAAATACAAGTCTAAAAAGAAACGTAGTTTTTTATTAAATGAGGAAAAATAGATATTATATGGGTAAATACAACCAGTGCGATCGGGTTTTCCGGCCTTGTAACGCGTATTTATTGTTAGAAGAATCGAAATATCGTTAATTATATGAATATTTAATACATCCCGGGCGAACTATGAGTTTGTGTAAGTGACCGTGACACGTCGGCCATATTTGCAAATATTTTTTTTTCTAATTTTGCAGCAGTGATGTGTAATTCAATGTGCTAATACAGATTAAAATAAAAAAAAATACTGTGTTAAGTGTTGTAATACAGATGGCTGACGTAAAGGTTTTTTGGAATGTGTGTTTTCTTGTTTTTGGTAAGTTGGATTTATGAGAAAAAAATATTTAAAATGATAGATCCATATACTATTAAATTTTATTAATTTATTCTTTTATATCTAATGACTTTTAGGAAACTACATAATCTAAATTTAATGATAAGCCGTAGGTACTAATATAATTTTAATAGCAGCAATAATAACATCAAAATTTAATTAATTTTGTAATGAGTTAGTTAATTGACAAATAATGGAAATATGATAAAAGGTGTACGTGAATGCGACCGTGGAATATTTATTCCTTTAATCTTGGGTAGTCAGTTAAATGTCCACTTTTTTTCAGAAATTTCTCAAAAGTACTATATTTTTGCATCACTTTTTGGGAACAGAAATAATATATTTTTTCAAAAAAAGGTGGCAATCTTAGTTGCAATGCTTGGCGGGCGGGTGAGGAACATTTTTTTCAGCGTGTACCACCTATCTCGGTCGAGTCGACCGAGGTAGGAGGTACACGCTTTCACAAGATACCAGCGTAAAATAACAACTCAATGCTGCTGTATTTCATATGGTGAGTGTAGAGAACCGGACATTCTTTTTACTGGATAGGAGGCATTCCATCTTACTCCTCAGGGGTGACAAAGCATTGAGGAAAAAATTAGATGTCTATGAGCTACAGCGACCACTTATTATCAGGTGGAATATGAACTCGTTTGTCACAAGTCCAGTCATGGATGGAGTATTGCTGTCACACACGGGCTGGTGTTACAAAATGCCACATAGCAGCTTTGAACTCAATGGAAAGGCTTGCTAAGAGAGTTATTGGTGAAACCAATACGTTATTTTAAATTATTATAAGCCATTTTATGACTACCCTCCCACCTGTTGGTAAGTGGTGATGCATTCGAAGATAGTAACAGAAGTAGTAGTTTACGTGGTAAAGTCATGCTGCAGCTCACGGCTGACAATATGCATTTTGATTCGTAATCGAGAATAGATGTATGCCCATAGACATGTGTCTATGGGCCACAGCAACCACTTACCATCAGGTGGACTGCGCGCCCTTTTGTCACACTTATCCTATAAAAACAACTTATCAATAAGTAGTACCAAAAAAAAAATTAGAAACGACTTGGCACCTTGGCAGCGATCACATTATTCCCACGGACCATGTATTTACCTACCTTGACGACCTATACTGATGGCTCCGTGACCCAGTAGTTTAGCACGGCGCTGTGGGCCGCGGGTTCAAAATCCTGTTTGGAACAAGTATTCGTATGGCCTACAAATAATTGACCCAAAGCGTGATGGCGGATTTCACATAAAATGTTCTTTTTTTAAGTTCTCAGGCACGTACCTGCGTGTCTTGCAAGGTTATAAAATTGCAATTAACAATTTTATTTTGGTGCCGGCAAGGAGCAAAAGGAGAAACATCGTGTTGCTGCCTACCGTAAAATTTACAGCGGGCGCTTACCGCTTAGTCCTAGAGCTACCACCTGTACCTACCACGGCCTGTTTTTACATATACTGTAACTTTTAACTTATATAGGTACAAAATTTTACTAATCTGTTTGAACAGGATAATAATGATATTAAATTATCAGCGAGAAAATGTATGAACAGTTTCCTTGATTTAAGCTAACCCGTATATTGAACACCTACGTAATAATTATTTCTTTAACGAAATTTATTTAAGGCAAATGGATAGTTGTTAAATATTTAAATTACACCTAGATTGACCGGTTTGGTCGGAATCCATTAAATTATACATGATAAATTATTTTTTTTAAATATTTCTATACAACACGGTATTCTGTAAAATAAAATTTTAAAGAGTGTGCTTTTGTGCAGTGAATGCATGCGAGTGCACAGAAATTAAACGGTCGGTTAGCGGTAGGTAAACTTGTATATATAGAAGTCAGTGTAAGTAAGTCTCCACTTTTATTGCCGACTAGCTGTACCCCGCGACTATGCCCGCGATTGTATTTCAAGGGTTTTTTTTATTTATTTATTAGAACGAAGTTCCTTATCGGAAGGTACGAATTTGGTGAATACGGACTAGGCGAGAAAACGTGTAAGATTTTTCCGTCACGACCTTCTGATGTAATGTAGACGGCCTTGGCGGCTATAAGGAAGCGAGTAGTGAGAATAATATCCATCTCCCTCGAACTTTTTCTTATCTTGCCGTGAAAGAAATATTATTTTATTTTAAATGACGCTTCATTTTAATAGACGCTAGTAATTCATTTATTTATATTTGTTAATCAATGAATAGAATTTAATATAATAATATAATAAAAGACCCAAGTTTGCGCGTTTAACGCTAAAAAGAACCCCTTTGTCGTATCTCCTCAGTTTAAAGGCACTCCCCTTGTTGCCTCAGCCAGTATCAGAATCCTCGGCATCGACATATCGAGTGACGTAGGTACAGTTTCGTGGTCACTTGGAAGAGAAGGACAAATTGGCCTCTAAAAAGCTTGGCATGCTCAGCAGAGCGGGACAGTATTACATGCCGGCACACCGCCTGCAACTTTACAAGACGCAAGTTCGGCCTCACATGGCAATACTGTTCACATCTCTGGGCTGGGTCTCCCCAGTGCCAGCTCCTTCCACTTGACCGCATCCAGCGCAGAGCCGCTCGAATCGTCGACGACCGAGTACTTACCGATCGGCTCGATTCACTGGCGCTGCGAAGAGATGTTGCATACCTTCGCATTTTCTTTCGCATTTACCACAGGGAGTGCTCTGAGGAATGGTTTGGATTAATCCCAGCCGCTGAATTTCACGAACGCACACCGCGGCAAAACTTCCGATACCATCCACACCATCTGGATGCTCGGCGGTCCACGTGTACGTTTCACTAGGAACTTTCTTCCGCGTACAAGCTCTCTGTGGAATAATTTACCACCGGCGATTTTTCCGGACCGATACCACTTAGGGACCTTCAATAAAAGAGCCTACTCCTTTTTAAAAGGCCGGCAATGCAACTGTAATTCCCTTGGTGTTGCAGTTTTTCATGGGCGGCGGTAGTCACTTACCATCAGGTGAGCCGTGTGCTCGTTTACCCCCTCTCCTACAAAAAAGAATAATACGTTTATCAATAATAATATACCTACTACGAAAGGAACTTCGTTCCAACCGAGTGTTCCACGACACTCACACCTGTTTTTTTTTGTTTTATCGACAATAAGGTAAATTATTCAGAATCGTTCTTTCATAACTGAGCCAAACCTAAATGATTATTTCATATGATTATGACAGGAAATTCCCTATCTCAGTTACGGGGAAAATACCTAATTTGTGAGCCGTGCTAACATAGAGGAAAATTGCAGCAAAATACCTAATAAACTGACAGTACACCTAAACGTAAATGGAAATGGCAAATTCCCTAGATGGACACTTACAAGGTTATAGGCTTAGTTGGACCCGGTAGGTGGCGCTTTTATAAAATCCAGATATCACCCGTGCGAACCCGGACAGATCGCTACTTAAATATATCTATACCTGTCTCTGATTATTGTCAGATAATATTTATGTTAATAAATATTTTTTCAATATACGTCGATTTTAATGAGTAAGGCCGCAGTTCTTTAATATTTTACTTCTTCATTAATTCAGTGTTATGTGTACATGAATGAAATTATGAGTCTACTGCAAAGAAATAAAATAAATAAAAAATGCCACAGAGTATATTTAATAATAATATAACAATAGCAGTAATAGCTTCTGTAGTCGGTACTAAGACAGAGTGTATCAAAAGTTACGAGTAAAGCCCCAACTGCAGAAGCTATTACGTGGAAATAATTATTTTTTTAATTTTAAATTTGGTTTTACTTTAACATTTGTTAACAGTTAAATTACTTGAGAGTAGAGAATCGGAGACCCTTTTTACTGGAAACGAGGCATTCCATCGTAGTCTTCAGAGGTGACAACACATTTGCATTATTATCCTTAAACGAAGATAAATGGTCTATGGGCTACAGCATCCACTTATTATTACTTATTACTCAAGTGGACTGTGTGCTTGTTTGTCACATCCATTCTAAATAAAAGTTAAGTTAAATAAAAACCCCTTTCGTAGTATATTATTATTGATAAACGTTATATATTATTGATTAACAAATAGAAATAAATGAATTATGTATGTAGTAGCGTCTATTAAAATGAAGGCATCATTTAAAATAATTAAAAAAGTTTATTTCATGGAAAGGTACAAAAAAGTGCGAGAGAGATGTATATTATTCCATCTCACTTCCTTATAGCCGCCAAGACTGTCTACACTACTCAGAAGGGGTCGTGACGGAAAGATCTTACACATTTCGTTGCCTAGCTCCCATCTGTCAAATTCGTACCGTCCGATAAGGAACTTCGTTCCAAAAACCTTGTCCTTCTGAATAGACATAGGAATATCACGTTCAGGGTAATAACTAGAAAGTACGTTTAAATAGGTATATTAAAATCTTCATCCCCTGTTTTTTCACACTTAGGGATGGAAGTTTTTCTTTAAATTTATTTGGAACCACCCCTGACATATTTATTAGTTCAGCCATTTTCGATTAATCGGTAAACATACTTAAAAAAATACGTGCCTAGTTTAAATAAGCGTTTTGATTTATGATATAGGTTTTTTATTTTATTAATATACTTATAGGTTGCCATACACGCAATGAAAAGTAAAATTTTCAGCCTCTCAGCCACAAAATACTAACTGCAGCAAATTCCAAAGGAAAACAGAACTACCGATTCGTTGACATAAAAATCACAACGTAGAGAGAGAGAGAGAGAGAGAGAGAGAGAGAGAGAAAGAGTCTGTAATTACATTATTACTATAACAACAACCTTTTACTTCTTACAGTGACGGGTCCAGTTTTCACTGCTGTTGTGGACGAACATGAAAATTTCTGCAGGTGATAAATAAATTCATATTTTTTAAATAACATTTCTGATTCCCATGACACTAAAAGATACAGTAGAACCTCCGTAAGTCGAACGTCGATAAGTAGAAAACCTCGTCAACTCGAAATAAAAGTGTGTGTGTACTTATGTACCCACGTAGTAAGTTATACTTCTTTAGCGTAACAAAACAAAAAACTTTGAGAGACAATTACCCACAAGTTATCGCTTTTGGGTGTCAGTGTACGCGCGCATCGTAACAACTTCATGGTGTCATTTTTAGCTGCCGGTGTGCGCGCGTATCGTAAAAAATTCACTCTTATCATCTTTCCCAAACGGCCCAAAAGAAGTATAATTTTAAAATATTTTTTCCCTTCCCTTCAAGCCTCAAAACTTCCATTACTCGAAATCTTAACCCTCTTTATGTCGAAATATTCAGTGAGTCCCTACAAGCCATTTCAGTACGAATATTCCCTCTTTAACTCGAAAAAATAAAATGGACCTCTTCATCTCGAACATAAAAGTGTTTGATTTTAGAATCTTTACAACTCGATAATTTGAAAATATGTACCTTTATAGCTCGAAGGAAAATAAAGTAACCTAAAGAATTTGCCGACAATGTACTTAATTGTTTCTCAGAAAACAATGTAAGAGTTGTACAATAAATAGGATTACTAATTCTTTTTTTTTTCATTTAAAAACGTTACAAACGTTTTAAACGTGGTAGAGCCACGCTGCAGCTATATTAGTAGTATAGTTGTAGCACGAATGGGACCCATTATACAAAAAGTTTCATCAAAACCGTTTTTGAGTTTTAGCGAGACTAACGGACCGCAATTGATTTATATACAAGGTGCCCGGTAAGTAATGAATAACCCCGGAGGTCAGGAAAAAAATTACATTTTAAATTTACTACGGCGAACTATATTTTTTTTTTCGAGACTGTTACAGATATATTTTTTATTTTATTTTTCTGAGTGGCCGAGGAAAGAAAGGCCGAAGAAATGTTCTCGAGTGGCGGCCTCGTACCGGTAGGCGAAGTGTAGGGCGTCCCCCCACGAGATGGAGTGACGACCTGGTAAGACATGCAGGAAGTCGATGGATGCAGGTGGCTCAGGACCGTGCTTTGTGGCATTCTTTGGGGGAGGCCTATGTTCAGCAGTGGACTTGTGAAGGGCTGTAATGATGAGTGGCCGAGGTACCTCCTACTAGTACCTGCTGGTTTATCCATTAATTACCGGACATTCTATATAAAGATAGTTGCATGGTATGTACAAATCATCATTGTCACTATCATCATCAAAAATCTACTGCTAAGCTGGGTCTCGCTAATGGATTGCCTCATAGGGACAATCTATTGCATCAAATGTTATAGACGTCTGGTACTGGGATCGTTAATGCTCCCGACAAGTGATAATTAAGGTGAAACCTCTCTGCAAAGGGATAGATCCATGTCTAGCAGCAAACTTACGTGCCGATAAAGAAGTAAAATTTTTAAATCTATAATGATGAAGTTTCAACAAGTGCTATCAATCTTTTTACAAAAGCAACAACTAAAAAAAACTGGTCAATCAACACACGATACATTATAGAGCAAAAATATACTAGGTATGTCTCTGTCTTGACTGGCACCACTCTCTTAACTAATTCTGCTGTGTCCCTTGATTTATTATGAAACGTATTAAACTATTATGAAACTGTAATACGTTTCGTAATAATTCTCAGAAGTACTGCGTGAAATACGCAGCCTAACAATAATTAACAATAAACTGAAGAAGACAGTTAGTGATAGAGATGATGAATCCTTTAATAATGTTTTACAGTGCTGGAGAAATACCATGTGACGACGGAACCTGCGTGAGTACTGACAAACTCTGTGACGGGATCGCAGACTGTGCGGACCGAAGTGACGAGAGGGCTTGCGGTACCAGCTCTGACATGTAAGTTATTGTCAGCATTTTTGACTCCCTCTTCTGCATCGGTTGTCGGTTCTTCGAGATAAATTATTACCACTACAGCATACTGATCCATTGGGCTTTCTCATTTCAAATTCTATTATGCAGAGTAGTTCCGAGCATAATCTTCCCCACAGCTCGCTGAGTGATACTCCAATCCCAATCCGATCCGGCCTTGTTGGAAGACGGAGTTATCGTCAATATAAGGATCTAAGATAATATTGATATTGTGGTGGACTATGTTAAACGCATTTGAAAAGTCAACATGAGCCACAGTTCTGAACTTCTGACCATCAATCTGTTTTTTAATGTCACCTGAACCCATAGCCTTTGGTGTATTTGTAAGTGGCTACTGCAGAACAAGTACACTGCAACGAACGGATGAATTGTCACTCCATGAAGACTAAGTGCTCATACACACTACGCGGGTAACTGTAATGCGGCTAGTCGTTGGGCTGACCGCAGCATGCGGTTGCGAATGCGGCTGTCCGCAATCTGGTGGTTGAAGAACCGTTGCGATTTGCGGTCATGTCGATTGATTTCAAAGGTGGATTTTAAAATTTTATCGGAATATTCTGGCAATTTGGTGTTCCAAATTGCTGGCGGAATCTAGATTTGGATGATAAATTTTTCGGTATACGTCATCATAAACGTACAACGTGCTCACAATCTCAGTCAATGGCGGGCAGCCGCAAACTGAGCCGCACAGTGTGAATTCGGGCCGTCATTCCGGCCGCACCCCTCCGAGTGACCGGAGCGGTTTGCGGGTAGTCGTATCGCAGTGCAACTACCCGCAAAATAGATGTTTGTATTTTTTTGCTTGCGGGTAACAACATAGTGCATATGAGTGCTAAGATGGAATACCTCACAGCCAATAATTATACTGGCTTTCATATCCTTTAGATCGAAATACTTCATTAGATGGACTGTCACTTGACAGCAGAAACAGTAGAAAAAAAAGTTTTATTGATATATTAATATAGTGATTCCACTGAATTGTTTTTTATTTTTCAGTACTCTATCTCTGTGGTCTCCCGATCAACACAGAAAAAGACGGGCTGCGAATAATTGTCGGTAAGGACTTTTCGTATTTCATTTTTCATATTATTTCAATAAACGTGACATTTTAATACAGAATTCAGAAATTGAAAGAAATAAAGTTTTAATTACATCATTTTCTACCTCAACTTCAAATTCATTAATTTAATGAATTATTAAAATATTATGTAATTATAATGATAATATTTGTGACCAGCGACGATAGGATCCCTTAATGTGGCGGTCTTTTTTATTTAAGATTTAACTTTAAGATAATCAGAGACCATTTATTTTATCTTTTTTTGAAAGAGCTGAATAGAAGCCAGTTATTTTAATATTGCAAACAGGCACAAGTATGTATAGATTAATACACTTGATAAAGTTTTCGTGAACCATGATCACCTTTCATAAATCAGAGAGAACATTAGCTTGAGTTCTAGACTTGCTATGTAGTGGCGATATAATAAAATCCACTACCCCATATCATACCGTGGGAGTCGTAAGAGGCGACAGAGGGAAGCAAACCAGGAGATGGACAGAACGACTTCCTAATAATATCTAAACAAAAAAAAAACCTGCGGTTGGTCACGTGCCTGCCCAATTGCTAATCTGATTCTAAACCCTCTTATTCTCTCAGAAATGGAAGGAAGCCAGTATCCAGCTGTAAGCCATTAATATGCTGTTGTTTCTTCAAAACTTTACAAGGCGCAGGTTCGGCCTCGCATGGAATACTGTTCCCATCTCTGGGCAAGGGCTCCCCAGTGCCAGCTCCTTCCACTTGACCGTATTCAACGCAGAGCGGCTCGAATCGTCGACGACCGAGCCCTTTCCGATCGGCTCGATTCATTGGCACTGCGAAGAGATGTTGCATCCCTTTGCATTTTCTTTCGCATCTACCATGGGGAGTGCTCTGAGGAATTGTTCGGATTAATCCCAGCCGCCAAATTTCACGAACGCACATCGCGGCAGAACTCCCGATACCATCCACACCATCTGGATGATTGGCGGTCCACCACTGTGCGATTTAGAAGATGTTTTCTTCCTCGCACGACTTCCTTGTGGAATCAATTACCATCAGCGATTTTTTCGGACCGATACGACTTAGGGACCCTCAAGAAAAGAGCGTACTCCTTTTTAAAAGACCGGCAACGCATCTGCAATCCCCTCCCTGGTGTTGCAGTTGTTCCTGGGCGACGGTAGTCACTTACCATGATGTGAGCTGCATGCTCGTTTGGCCCCTCACCTATAAAAAAAAACTTACAATAAAAGTCTATCAAAAGTCTCCTATCGGTGGCGACACAGGGAAGAAACAAGAAAAGGGCACCAGAATTTTTCTGCTATCAACTCAATAATAGTAATAAAAAAATTCAAGTATGGAAACTGTGGCAACTTTTCAGGCAACTTATGTTGGAGGCCTGCGTTCAGTAGTTGACTTGTTGTTGACTGTAATGAATTAAGGGGACTACAGAAGCTAAACGCAAGTTTTAAAATGCCTTACAGTATATGATCCTTCGCAGTAAACAGAATCAGAAAAATATATGATATTTTTTGGGATATATGCTAATTAAATAGTGTGTTGAAAATAACATACTACTAATTTGATACGATAAAAAATCACAAAGATGCCTCTAAAAATTTCGTTTAGCGATTAAAAATCATACAATACATGAAATCATTCTGGTTTTTGTCAAATTTTTTAAACTATGGCAACTTTTGGGGTAACTTATGTTGGAGGCATACGTTCAGTAGTTGATTTGTTGTTGACTGTAATGAATTAAGGGGACTACAGAAGCTAAACGCAAGTTTTATAATACGTTATTGTATATGATCCTTTGCAGTAAACATAATTAGAAAAATATATGATATTTTCGGGATAGTGTGTTGAAAACATGATACTACTAATTTGATATGATAAAAAAAATCACAAAGTTGCCTCTAAAAATTTATTTTAGCGATTATAAATCATATTATACATGCAATCATTCTGGTTTTTGTTAGATTATTCTACAAGCAACAGATTAACATAATAGTGTTTTAATTGTTTAGTTTATTAACATATTTTTTAAATCGCATATTCCTATTTCTGTACATAATACATACGGGCGGCCGAGGCCTGATGCTATACAAAATTGTGTAAATGTGTGCGTGCGTCATTCCAGGTCACTTAGCTCTTGTAGTCCCCTTAATGAATGACAACAAACTGAAGTGATTTGATGTCTGTTATAATACCTACAATTTTTTTTATAGTACAGAGGAAGTGGCTTGCGATGATGGCACCTGCGTGAGCAGGTTTAGTCTGTGTAATGGGTTCGCGGACTGCCCAGACCGCAGCGACGAGAAGGACTGTGCTGTATCTGACTCTAACCCGTAAGTTACTTATAATAGATACTAGCGACCGGCTCCGGCTTCACTTGGGTCTCTTCACTTGGGTCTCTTCACTTGGGTATATTTTTAATTTAGGTATCTTTTAATATGACGCTTTTCTACCGAATTCAAAAAGGAGCTGGTATTCAATTCGACTGTATTTTTTTATGTGTGTTACCTCATAACTTTTTACTGGGTGAACCGATATCGATGATTCTTTTTTATTTGAAAGCTAGTACTTCACATGGTTCCATTGTTCACAATGATCAAGGTCTGACTAATAGTTTTTGAGTTATTGTTAATAATTTATATTGAAGTCGATTGTACAAAATTTTTAATTTTAAATTATTAGGCTTAATATTTTCTAATTTTTCAATAAAATCTCCGATTTATTTTTCGAATCAAATATAGCCTATATTACTTCTGGTATTGGTCTCTTATCTGTTTGTAAAGTTTTATTACAATCGGGTTGGACCATTTCAAAGATTAACTTGGCCAGACAAATCGTAAACGCAATTGCTGATCGTTACAAAATAAGTTATTGGCTTTTTCTGTCAAGACATTCTCAGTAGCAGCCCGGAGCCAATAAGTTGGCGGTGTTTCATCCCTGTGCCTCGGAAAGCACGTAAACCTATTGGTCCTGCACCTGATCTCTATCCGGTCGTGTCAGATTACCGTCTGATCGAACTATGAAAACGAAGGCATAGATAATGCACCTGTCTTTACGCATACACTCTGCCATTATAATCCTACCTCGTGCAGATGGCCAACGGCCACTATTTCAACGGGGCAGACAATTTATATGATTACGTTCATACTGTCAATGTAAACTGTCAAAAATATAATAGTCTATAGTCAAACAGTCGCACAGAGTAGAGATCTTGGACAAATTATCGTACTGGATGTAGTCATAAGACCTTGCCACTCTTATATCCAACTTACACAAAATACTGATATATTTACGTAGTACGACGGAATTCAAAGTCTAATGCTAAAAAAGAAGTAACCACGATTTCCACCAGAGTTAAGGATTCCCACTGTGTGTGTTAGATGTTTTTTTATAATAACAGAGAGGTGACAAAGGAGCTAACATTTCAGCCATGGACACATGTAGCCAATATCTAACAACAAACAAACTAAAATTGTGCTGCCATCCGTGAGATCTAAGTTGAAAAGCCTCATTCACTATCACTACAGTTCATCACAAGTTATAACAACATAGGCCTTTCTAAGATATCCACAAAGTACAGTCTTGAGCCACCAGCAACCGTCAATAACCTACGTGTTTTATCTGGTTATTTCTTCACATAGTGGGGGGCTGCCTAATGCTGTGTTCTCCAGTACGAGGTTGCCACTCGAGAACTTTTCTTCCTCATCAGTTGTTGGTTCTTCGAGCTTTATTTGCCGGCCCATTTCCACGTCAGCTTACTGATCCACGGGGCGATGTTTATTACTCTTGTTCTTCTGCAGGGGAACGACTCACGTTATTATGAGAATATAATTGCGATGATACCTTGAAATCGAAACACCACAGTAAACATAAGAAAGTATTATAAGAAATCACCACAGTAGACTATTTTATAAATCTTTGAATGATAATTGTGATAATTTCTATTAGAATCGAAGTAATTTGAAACTTGATAATACGAAAAAGCTACATTATAAAGAGACAAATATATACATCTATAGGATTTAGCCCGCGATAGAATAAAATATATAGTTTCCTAATCTTGGTTTCCTCTTTGTGCGGTGCTTTATAGATGATTATTAAATCCACGTTTTCATAACTTACCGATTTATATTAACACATTCACTGTCCGGTTTATAGATACAATAGTAAGACCATAACAATGACCTATACATAGGTATATAGTGCACGGGACAGTAAAGGGGTTAAATTAGTCGTGTTTCGGCCATCTGGCGTCTATTTTGCGTACCACCTCGAGAGTCAATAAATTTTTGTTCGATTAAATGACTTTACCGTGGGAATGAATAGATGGCGCTATTACAAAGCAATTTCGCTCGCAATTTTTTGAAGGTTTTTTTTTAGTACCGTGTAGGAATTGCACATGTTTTTTTTTTATCTTTGACTCATTTATTATAGCCTATCAAAAACTCCACTGCTGAACATAGGCCTGCTCGTAGATTGTCACATAGGGGTATATTTAGAATAGTTGTCACGCTTGGCGGGCGAGTTGGTGTTTATTTTTTTGGTTGTTATTAGAAAGACGCCGCTGTACATCTCCTGGTTTGTTTCTCTCAGGCGTCTGTTACGACCCTGACAGGACGATATGGGGTAGTGGTTATTCTTACACCGCCACTACACGGTCTAGGTACCTACTAACATGTCATATAAGAGGTGTTACTAGTATACTGTAATCAGCCATTGGCTACTAGGTCTTTTGACCTTTTCTACGGTCGCTTCTTTCGACCGAGAATTCTCTTACGTCGTCACCATACGTCCACTACCATATTATACCGCACCATATTATAAAATGTAAATGTTCGAATTTCAGGTTACTGTCCCGCTTATCTGCCGGACGATTAAGATCTAAGAGACAGGCAGCTGGTAAATGTCGGTAAGGATTTCATCGTTTTTTTTAATTATATTTATCTTTCATATGGCGTTCTTAACCTTCTCTGTAGACGAGTTACACAGGGACTGAACCCTGTTGTAAGTGTTGATTTACCACGTACTAGGCGGTGAATGATAACATACTGAGGATACTGAGATTGAAAAAATAATTTGAGGACATGTAAAATCTGCCAAAATGTATTGGGACAGCATGATATAATACTCTTACCCTATAACCTCTGAAAGTGGGCTGTATGAACAGCAGTGAGTACTTACCGACTTCCTACTGCTTTGCTTACAAGTTTGCAACTAACTCCTTACAAACTTTTTTTTTATAGGAAAGAGGTCAAACGAGCATGCGGCTCACCTGATAGTTAGTGACTACCGCCGCCCATGAAGAACCGCAACATCAGGGGAATTGCAGATGGGTTGCCGGCCTTTTAAAAAGGAGTAGGCTCTTTTCTTGAAGGTCCCTAAGTCATATCGGTCCGGCAAAATCGCTGGTGGTAAACTATTCCACAAGGAAGTTGTGCGAGGAAGAAAACTTTGTTGAGGATATCTATGATAGTAACTTTTTGTACGCGGTAGAGCTATGCTCCTGCTATATTATTGTATAGTTGTAGCACGAATGGGTCGGCTCGACCGGGGAAGCACCACGCTTTCATGTATATTTCGTATGGTGAGTGTAGAGAACCGGAGACCCTTTTTACTGAAAAAGAGGTATTCCATCATAGTTCTCACGGGTGACAACGCATCTGCATTTTGATTCTTTATTGAGGATAGATGTAGATGTCTATGGGCCACAGCAACCACTTACTATCAGGTGGACTTGGTGCTCGTTTGTCACCCTTATTGTACATTAAAAAAGAATGTCTATTTTATAACTATTTTAAATGCTTAGACATGTATAATTCAATTACAGGAAGAATCAATGGCAGTGTAGAGACAAGTCTTGCATCAGCTTCGATGGGAAGTGTGACGGTATCGTCGACTGTCCCGACGGCAGCGATGAGTCCCATCCGCTGTGTAGATTAGAGAAGTAAGTTTTATATTACTTGTAATAAAGACCGTGTGGTTCCCGTTAAATACGTTATCAGAATCCGTATTCAAACATATAGAATAATTTTAATTCCGAAAACTTGACCATAAAAAGATCAAATTAAATTTAAATAAATGTTGGTTTATTACCTCTGCAATGGATGGGAATAAAGATTAGACCCCGCTTTACCGATGGGCGTGACAGTCAGTTCGAATGTGTAAGGTTTTTCTGCCGACTTCCAAATCTTTGATCAGGGTTAGACCAATAGTTATTGAGTTATTCTTAATAACTTATATTGAAGTCGGCTGTACAAAATTTTAAATTTTTAATTATTTTTTTTATTCTACTAGGTGGTACACGTCGGGTTGCAGCCGCAGAAGAAATAATTGCGGAAATATCGTTTTCAATTTGGAAGAGTTATATTATTTTACTAGCTTTTTATCCGCGGCTTTGCTCGTTAGCTTGGCTTTAATTAAAAATATCATTAACACTACTTCAATTAAAGTTAAAATTTCATAAATGTAGTTCTATTCACTATGAACGTGTAGCACGGACTATATTCATAAACGGGAGTAGAAATATAGAGAAGATAGGCAGTAGCATCTTTCTGATTACAGCTCAAAATAATAAAAAGATGCAGTTGGCGGCAACCCGCGGCTAATATCCAACTTATTTCGTAATCTATGGAGGGCATCTAAAGGATGAACGGGAGCTTTTGGCGGGAACTTGACCGGCGACGGATTGCTGCTCCTGTATTATTGTTTAAATAATGGTTTGAAGTGGATTTTGATATGTAAAAGTGGTGCGATTTTGTGTATTAGGTGTCTACGCATGTGAACTATTAGTGGAAATGGTGAAACAAGTGCTTTGATGGTGATGTGATTCTCAAGATAAGGTGTCTGTCTGCTTAGGCGCCTTGAGATACCATCGACTACTATCAGCTGTCTGCTGGCTCAAGTTGCCGTCAAAATCTCCCAAGGACTGCACAATGTAACGCATCGACATATTGTGAAGCAGTGTACTATGAAGGATAATTATACATTGTTACTTCAGGCTCAGAAAGGCTAGCACCCAGAGCCGTAAAGACAGTTATTAAAAAATTATTAACGGGAGTAGAAATATATTATCAATGTAGAGGCGGCTAAATAGAAGCCAATACCTCATTTCGTCTCTTGGGTGTCGCAAGAGTCGACAGAAGGGAAACTGAAACAAGAGATGGATGGCAGCATCTTTCTGATAACAGTGCAGAGTAATAAAAAGCTGCGGATGCCAACCCACTCGCCAAGCGTGGCTACTACTTCGAATATCCGGTCTATTTGACAAACAACGTTCGCGTGTATATATAGTAGACGGGCCTACGCATACACGCACGTTTATGCGTAGGTCCGTCATGTGTGTGTTGTGTGTGGTAGTGTGTGTGTGTGTGTGTGTGTTGCTCCTCAAACGTCATCAAAAAGTACAGATTTGACCAGGAATTAACGGACGTTCCAGATGCCAGTACAATTGGTTCCGATGCACCTACGGGGCGTGTGTGGACGGAACAGCTCCGTGCAACGGGATCCAGGAGTGCGCCGATAACTCTGACGAGCTGCTGCCTCGCTGCAGGAATGAGACTGATGAAATTCAGTAAGTATCATTCTTTAGCAACATTCTATTTATTTGTTATTAGATGTTGACTGTGTACCGGATAGCTGTATTGAGCCAGCTTCTATTCTTCTTTCTCTTCTAGAGGTCGCAGGTTGGATTCCAGATGTTATACCCCAAGCTACCATGGTCATCGTTTTTAATATTGCAAACAAATGTCAAGAAAAATAAATGAGCCTATATACGTCCCACTGCTGGGCACAGGCTTCCCCTCATTTCTGAGAGGGTTTTAGGGCAAGGAAATGTCCGCCACGCTGCCCCAATGCGTGTTGGCGAACTTCACATGTCTTCCAATTTTTTTTTCTTATTTCTCAAACATGTAGGTTTCCTCACGATGTTTTCCTTCACCGCCGAATACGTGGTAAGTCAGCAACTAAAATTGCAATTAACAATTTCTTTAGTGCCGGCGGGGATCGAACCCGGGTTGCTCGCGTACTGTGAAATTAAAGGCGAGCGCTAAGCATCTGACTTACCACAGCTCTGATGGTAGAATATATTATATTGTTTTTACTTCTAATGAGTTCCATGAACATTTTATAATGTAAAGTCTACTAAGTAGTATTCATTTATTTGAATAGTTAAGAGTATTATCTAACAATATCTTTTTTCTTCATGATCATCAGCCGGTAGACACTGCTGGATATGGACCTTTCAAGTTATAGGGAATATTTGCCTTAACAGTTAGACTTGGTAGGGTGATTGATGAACGCAGTACTGACGTAATAAGGACCTTTTGACGTTGCTAGTATTTGCCGGTGTAAGTATTTAAGGTCTGGCGTAAACAGGATGTTTAAGCCACGGTTTTGTAAAGTCATGAAATCTTATTAGCATATCTTATAGTCACCTATTACGATACGATGGGCGAAAAATGTAGTGATATGGTATGAAATATAGGATGTATCTACTCGTACTGAACATAGGCATTCCTATAAATTTCATCGTACGGTTTTTTTTAGATATAAGGTATGTAATAAACGTACGATGCTAGACATCTTCTTTTTTTTCCTTAATTAAGGTTAAAAATGGAGAGAATCTTGCCATACTAAACACAGTAGAATTAAATTACTATTTTACGCTGATGTTCTTTGAGAGCGTGGTTTTTCCCCGGTCGAACGACCTATTCATGTAATAACTATATAATCTAGCTGTAGCACGGCTTTACCACGTATAATGTGTGGATATTTGCCATAGTTGCCACGCTTGGCAGGCGTATTGGTACCCGCAGTTTTTTAATTTTTCTACCTCTTGGTTTCTTTCCCTCTTTTGCCTTTTACGATACTACTGGACAAAATAGGGTAGCCGATATTTTTACATCGCCACAACAATTCAAAAATTTAAAAAAGCAATACTGCTTTTCCATATTGAAACTAATTAAGTTTTATTTTAAATTATAGAGGCCAATTCAGATGCCAAAACGGGGACATGATCCCAGCGGCGAACCATTGCGACGGCGTGGTGGACTGCGCCGACGGTTCCGATGAGACTGTGCGCGCGTGCGCCGCGAAGAGCTGCCCTTCATACCTGTTCCAGTGTGCGTACGGAGCTTGTGTCGATCAAGGCGCCAATTGCGACGGTGTATGTATTAAACATATAATTTTACACTTTTTTTTTTATAAAACTGAAGTGACAAAAGATTTATAGTCAACCTGTTGGTAAGTGGTTACTGCAGTCCATGGACATCAGCGGCCACCTTCATACTAAGAAGGCTATATTCCTAAGACTACGATGGAATCCCTCACAGCTTGACAGGTACTCAGAAATTCACGCATTACAATTTGGTGGCAGAAATCTGTAAGAGAGATACCCAGGCAGACTCCCAGGCAGAAAAAGAACCACCAACGAGCGCATAGCCGGTAGGCTATGCGCTCGTTGGTGGTTCACTCCAGCGGACGTCACCAATTGACAACTTCTTTCTTCATTTCACTATTTCAGTCTATCAACTTTATTGTACACTAATTCAATCCATCAACTTTATTGTACATTCAACTAACTTCAAACTCAACTAAATTCAACGTTCATCGTAATCAAAACGTAACACACGGCACGACTAATGAACGGTGGATCAAAGTTCACTTCCGTTTTCACACAGCAACAAATTATTTCTAGAACCGAACGCGACCTTCGCTAGGGTCACAAAGTTCCACGTTAGAAACAGCAAACTAACTTCCTTCGTACGATATTAAATACTACGCCCGCATTAAGACTCAAAATCCGCCTAGCTGACACGCAAACTAACTACAGAATCAACACACAAAAGGCACTTAACGCGACGGTACAATTAAACATTAACTTCCAAAAACAATTAACCGGGTCACGCCCTCGAAATGGAATGCGAGCATCAAATTACAAACGAGTAACGTATGTCCACTCGGCGTGCACGCAAGGTTCTACGTTACACAAGCAAGATAAATATTGCAAAATGCACTTCAACCAGCAATCACCACAATTTACGTAAATTACTTGCCAACGAATTTAGGTTAATCAATCAAAATATTACCGCTTCGTTATCGCGTGAACGCACTAAAGATAACCAAAGATTAGAAGCGAAAACTCCAATAGTAAATTAAACGCGCACAAAGACTCAAATTCTAGACCACAAATCCAAAAAAACTGGTCGCGCGAAATAGATGCAGCGGTCACCAAAATACGCTAATCGACCGCACCACCGCTGTCGAGCTACTGACTTCGCCCACGAGAGCCGAACGCCGGGAAGCTGCATACCGCCTCTTTATTCTTGCAGAGTTTGTTCCTCTTTGTTAAAAGGACTTTTTCGGTTTAAAGACAGATTAAAATTAAACCGAGTAGTTGTGTGAACCTATGGTCCCGAATATCCTATCTTCAAAAAAAGAGCCTACTCCTTTTTAAAAAGCTGGCAACGCATCTGCGATTCCCCTGGTTCCCCTGGTGTTTCAGTTGTTCATGGGTGGCGGTAGTCACTTACCATCAGGTGAGCCGCATGCTCGTTTGCCCCCCCTCCTATAAAAAAAAATTTTATGCACTAGCCCATAAAACTCCACAGCTGGATAGGTGCCCCATTTTATGTAAGAAGATTTGAAAGATAGATAGATAGATAGATAACACTTTATTGTACGCCAAAAAATAACATAAATATTAACAAAAAATGAGAAAAAGAAATGTGGTACAATGGGCAGTCTTATCGCTAAGAGCGACCTCTTCCAGACAACCTTTGGATGGACAGGATACCAGACGTATCACTGTTGACGCTGCCGCCCGTCGCGTCTGGGTGTTTACTTATGATGTAAGTGAGGTGATGCCTGTGCCGGGCCTATGCATATAGGGGAAGATGAAACGGCGCCAACTTGTTGCTGGCATATCCGGAGGTCGCCACATACGGGATCACTTCCCGAAGTTGCTCGCAACGTCAAAGGACTGTTTAACTTCTTCGGGGAGATTTCATGGCTCGAATAGTCATAATATTCCTGTCCACGCGCAAAATACGTACTTAGACGTGGAGTTGCGGAAAATAGCCCGTCGTAGACCAAACTAAACTAAACTAAATGAAATACCACCATTTAACTGGTATTTCATGCTGGTACTGTTTTCCACATAGTGAGTGTGGAGAACCGAAGATCAGTAGAAGTCATAAAATCTTTCTAGTACTTTCTACAGTCACCTATGACGACACCAACGGGACGAAATGGAGTGATTGATTCTCTAGCACCACCACACCACGGTGCCGGTACCTAGTGATTGATAAGAAGTTTTCGTTTCAGAAACAAGATTGTGCGGACAATTCGGATGAATCTGACGAACTGTGTAACAGGATATCCGCTGTCACGACTACCACTAAAAGGTGAGTAAGCTATTGAATTAAAATTTTTATTATTTACTTTAATTTGTGTCAAGAAATCATGACCCATCACAATCTGTTTGCTTGCAAAGTCGCATTAATATGGTCACTACAAATTTATTAAATTAAAATAAAATCAGGTAAAAATTAAAGGCGCACTTTTATTTTATAGTATAGTGTGACAAACGAGTTGTGCCACCTGCTGGTAAGTTGTTGCTGTGGCCCTTAGACATCTACATCTATCCTCGTTTGCGAATCACAATGCAGATGCGTTGCCACCCGTGAGGACTAAGATGGAATACCTCTTTTCCAGTAAAAAGGATCTCCGTTTCTCTACACTCACCATACGAAGCACAGCAGTGTTAAGCTGCTATTTTACGCTCGTATTCTGTGAGAGTGTATTCGTTCGCCGGTCGAGCCGACGCATTCGTGCTACAACTATACTACTAATATAGCTGAAGTATGGCTCTACCACCTGTAAACGTACTCTCTTTTTCTTGTTTCTTATTTTCTTCTGTGTCGTGTAGGCAGTTTACAAACATATATTGCGCAAACACTCAGATTCGAAACAATTGTTTGTACGTCATACAAATACTTGTTGCGTGCGGGATTTAAACCCGCAGCCCTCAGCGCCAAAACCAATTGCTAAGCCACTGCGCAACAGAACTGTTAAAAAGCTCGTCACAAGTCCACAGCTGAACACAGGCCTTTCCTAAAGAACGTCAGTAATACCAAATAATTTAAAATTAAAAGTTTTGTACAACCGACTTCAATATAAATTATTCAGAATAACTCAAAAACTATTAGTCAGACCTTGATCAAATTTATATGGGACTACATGTGAAGCACTAGTTTTCAAATAAAAATATCATCAAAATCGGTTCACTCAGTAAAAAGTTAGGAGGTAACACACATAAAAAAACATACAGTGGTATTGAGTACCGTCACCTTTCCGAAGTCTGTAGAAAACACGACCCTAAGCCACAAGTATCGACGTCTTGCATATATTACCTGATAGCCACACCATCTAGTGGAAGGCTGCCCCACGCTTCGCTTACCGGTACGAGGTTACTACTCGAGAACCTTTCTTCCCCGTCGGTTATCTCTTCTTTGAGTTACTATACAATATTAAATCTGTAAGAAGATTAATATCCTCCAGACTGAATTTTGGTCACGTGGCGGTCACTCTAAACTAACTAGCCATCTGCGTAAGACAGGATTATAGTGCACGAGTGTATGCGTAGCACCGGTGTACTCTCTATTCCCTCACTCTCATAGTCCGATGAGACTGTAGTTCGATATGACCGGAGAGACATCAGGCGCAAGACCTTTACGTACTTTCCGAGGCATAGTGTGAAACATCACCAACTTTCTGACCCCAGGTTGCTACTGAGAATTTCTTGTCAGTAATACAAAAAAAATGACTTTGACCCGAGGATTCAGACCTGGGACCTAAAGAATTACATGATCATGATCACCAGATCAAAGAGTCGGGCATGACTATAAGAATATATTTACGATCTAAAGTAACAAATGGGAGCAATTCCTTTAGACTATAGAACTAAAATAAAAATTTGCTTTCCAGACCACAAACAGGGAACTGTATCCTTCCACAATATCCCGCAAATGGTGGTTACGCTGTGCAAGGGGCACCGTACGCGAAGCCAGGTGAAGCCTTCCCAAGCGTTTATCTGAACGTCAGCTGCAATCCTGGTTATGGGGTGGACGGGACCAATGTGCTGTACTGTTACGACGGATTTTGGAATACTGAGATGCCCAAGTGTGTCCGTGAGTATTTGAAGTATTGTCAACTAAGAATTATATTTTTATTTGCCTGTCGTCATCATCACAGCCCTACACAAGTCCACTGCAGAACATAGGCCTCCCACAAGGAATGCCACAAAGCACGGTTCTGAGCTACCTGTATCCATCGACTTCCTGCGTGTTTTACCAGGTCGTCACTCCATCTAGTGGGGGGACGCCCTACACTTCGCCCGCCGCTACATGTCTATGGGTCTATTCATTTTTTTTCTTTACAAATTACATACTACTACCTCGTGTAGTACGTAGAAGAATCCATTAATCCAACACAAGAATAAACCAAACTAACCCATTATCCCGTGGGTGTCGTAAGAGGGGAAAGTCGGAAATAAAACATGATGTAGTAACTTCTCAAATTACAACCACAAAAAACTTTAATTCGCCTGGTGTTGCAGTTGTTCATGGGCAGCAGTAATCACTCATCATCAGGCGAGCCGCGTGCTTACTAGCCCTCTTTTATATATAAAAATTCTCTCTTATGAAGCGATCTATGCAAGAGGCCTATGTTCAGCTATAGACTTTTGAGAGGCTGAAATGAAAGAATTAGATCAGTATAGTAGAAGAATTTAAAAAGGGTATTTATTACTTGATAGAGCCTCGACGTAACAGTGCAAAGCGGCCGGGTCGACCGTGTAAAGACCACGCTCTCATAGAATCTGTGTCTTCTTCATTAGAATGTAAAAGTCCAGTGCTGGATACGAACCTTTCCCGCTGTAACGCGAATTGTTCGGCATGCTTTTTTTTAAAGAATATTAGTGACAAAAGAGTACACAGTTCACCTGGAGGTAATCGGATGCTGTGGCCCATAGACATCTACATCTATCCTCGATTACGAATCAAAATCCAGATGCGTTGTTACCAGTAAAAAGTTTTTCCGCTTCTCTACACTCACCATAAGAAACACAACAGCACTATGCTGTTATTTTACGCTAGTATTCTGTGAGAGCGTGGTCCTTCCCCGGTCGAGCCGACCCATTCGCGCTACAACTATACTACTAATATAGCTGCAGCATGGCTCTACCACGTAAAAAAAGGTCTCTGGTTCTCTACACTCACCATACAAAACACAGCATCATTAAGCTGCTATTTTACGCTGGCATTCTGTGAGAGCGTGGTCCTACCCAGTCGAGCCGACCCATTCGTGCGCCAACTATACGATTACTATAGCTGCAGCATGACTCCTACTACTTATAATAAACACGACGTATAAAAGAGGTATCGCTCTTATACCTATAAGCTCGCCAGAAAAAACCAGTGCGTCCACTGTTACAGCCGAAGAGTATAAGTAATATATCAGTGTAACAGCAGACTGTGGGGCATTTCCTTAGTACGCAGAAGTGACGATGCATCTGTAACCTACTTTGTTTGAAGATTGCTGTAGGTTTCCATGGACAGCAGTAGTCGCCATCAGGTGGACAGTGGAGTCACTTTAATTTGAAAAAAAAAACATTCGTGAGTGTCGTGGAACACTCGGTTGGAACGAAGTTCCTTATTATTGATAAACGTATTACATTATTGATTAATTAATACAAATAAATGTATTACTAGCGTCTATTAAAATGAAGCGTCATTTAAAATAAAATACACTATGACACTAAAGGTAGTGACGAAAATATCTTACACTTTTTGTTGCTTAGCTCCCATCCGCCAAACCCGTACTGTCCGATAAGGAACTTCATTCCAAAACACAACTTCTATGAAGCTGTTACAAATAGTAAACGCAGCAAATAAAGATGAATATAAATTTATTTGACCTTGTCTCTCACCCAGGTTACTGCAAGCTACCACCTCACCCCAGCGTAGAGTACCACTGCCTGCTAAGAGGTACAGCAGGAGTTGAAGGCAACAGGCCTTGCCGCGAGTTCGAACCCACGGGTACCGTGGTGAGGCCGGAATGCAAGGCGCCGAACTACTACTCAGCCGGGATCCTCCGGTTCATGCAATGCATCGAAGGCAGTTGGGACTATATCGCTATTTGCACACCAGGTTTGATTAAAGACGGCATTAACATAACTGTAATAATAAAGGACAACGTAGAAGTACACGTTAGCCAACTTCAGTACGCTTCACCGGTTCAATCGGTTGAAATTTTCACACCAGCTAAACCGTTAAAGCCGGTTAAACCGGTTGTACCGATCACTGATAATAGTTTTGATTATGATATAGATGAAGGCGACTGGCGAATGGGTGTCGCCACTAATAAGCTTGAGGAAAATACTACCAAAGTAAATGTACTTGTTAAAAACAGTACTATCGTAGTCAATTTAAATGATGGGGTAATTAATTTTAGGGATTAATGCTCTTTTTTTTGTTTAATTTTATGTTTATCTTATCTTTGTGTTTATTTTTAGATATATTACGGTATGAACCTTTTCCTCATTTTGGTATTATTACGGAATTAGGAACCACATACATAGGAACAGATTATAATGCCTCGAATTTTTATCGTATTTTATTTAATATTGAATATATAATAGTAAACATAATGAAGTTTCTGATAAAAATAATCAAACCTACAGAAACACACAGATGTTCGAAGTCCTTTCGAGTTTTGGTAGAAATAGGTGCCTTATTTATTTCATTGGTATATTTTTTTAGAACATTAGTGTGAAATATACATAAAGTTCCTGTTATTTGTAAATCGTTGAATATATGGAATGAATGAAATACATGGTAACTAGCATAATGCTGACCAAATGTCTCCCAATATAGATTGGGAATAATAATAATAAAGCTTTTTATTTGTCTCACTTCACACATGATTGTTAAAAATGTTTAAAAAAATCTTAAACTTAGAAATATACCTACTTAAGTAACACAAATGATCTGACGTCACCGCTGGTATTCCTTCACAGCCAACCAATCGCCAAATATTCGTTGGAATTATCATGCCTAGCATTATCAGATAGATTGGCGATTGTACCTAGTGTAAAAGTGTAGTAACCAGTCACTAGTTTTACAGTACATAAGAATTATTTTATGGAACAAGTTCGAGAATTCTATGATAAGAATAATGCCGTCTAATTCATCCGATTTTTTTTTATTTCGCTCTTTTTTATAACTGATATTTTGTATATGTATTATAACATCTATCGCTTGTCATTGTATTTCATTTAAGCATTTGGTTTAAAGGTAACTGTTTGTATATTTATCATTTACTGGCTATTTACTAGCTTCGCTCGCGTGGGCTACAATTTAGGAACACCATTAATACTGTACTACCCACATAATTATCGTCCATTGAGTAACGTAAGAGGCGACAGAGGGAAACTGAAACACGTGTTAGGCAGCAGCATCTTCCGGATAACAACTCAAGATAATAAAAAACTGCAGTAGACAAACCGCCTGTCAAGCGTAGTGACTATGGCAAAATATACTATGCCCCGTGGATTACCTCGTAGGGGAACGAGGTAATCCACGGGGCAATCCATGGTCCCATTTCGTCACTTAGGTGTCTTAACAAAAGGACTTATCGCTTCCAATGAATGGCGGTACAAAAAAAACTCTCTTAATTACCGGACGCAAACTTTTTGGGGTTCCGTCCCTGAAAAGGAAAGAAAACGGAACCCTTATAGGATCCCTTCGTTGTCAGTCTATCTGTCTTTGTGGAGGTATCAAGTTGAAATAATATCAAATACGTAGGTCTGCGGCGCCTTGGAGCTCTAAAAAATCAAGCTTCTTAGTTAACGTAATAAAAAGGACCATTTATGTGACTCTTGACTTTGATACTCGCAAATAAATCAAAACGTATAGATATGGCAAGGTTTCACAGCTCAAGTAAAGGAAAAAGTCCGAAAATCTTTAATTTGTAGTTTGATCACACGAAAAATTATTTTTTTGCGATTAAAAACTTACATTTGTCGTTGGAGTATTGACCGTGATGTATATCTATGTATGGCAGAACATTTTTTTCAACAACAAAGTTAATCGGTAGGTACTTTCATAGTTTGTGAACTTCAGTAAGTGATGTTAATTATTTTGGTGAAACTAACTGTACCTGTGATAAGTTACCTTACTGCTTGTACACTGTTATACTTCCTTATTATATTATATAGGTAAATGAATGATGTTGTCTTTGTTAATTTTTGGCATTCGTCGCCATTAAAACTTAATTAATTAATGCTGTAAAATTGTAGACATGTAACAATTTCACATAATGATGTCAAGATCGTCAAAAACGTAGCATATCAATCCTGTAAATGCCAACTCACACTCGCCTTAAAGATACCACTGTTGTATATTGTATACATATTGGGGAAATCTTAAAACATAAGTACTCAAAAAAACTCTATGCCCATAATGGACGAACTGTAAACATACGAGTTTGTACGGAACCCTCGGTATGCAAATCAGACTCACACTTGTCCGGTTTTTCATTCATACACTACATTCTTTTATGCTTCTGAATATATTCAATAGTATTTGATGTGGTTTTGTGAAATAAAAAATCATGTAATATTATTTAAGAAGTGTACACATTCACCATTTAAAACTTATTTATTATTCCCTATTCAAAATAAATAAATAAATAATATGCTTCCCGACTGTAGTGATTATATGTTACTAATTATTATAATATATATTTCATAAACAAACTATATATTTGTAATGAACCTTATCTATACTTTATCATACATGTAAATTTCTTTGTTGTCAATGATGTATAAAAAAGTAAAACATTATACAGGTAACAACCATATAAAAATTATATATTTTAACATATTTTTATTTATGCTGAATTTATAAGTATAGTCTCCCCGCGTTTAGTCAAGATAAATCGATAGATGTATTTGTCAAAGACCGACGTTTAATTAATTAGCTTTTGTAGTTATGAGTGGACATAGAGTCTGACATACATAATATTATATACATACATAGACACATAAATACATTTACATAAAAGCAATATATTTTAATAATTACTATAATTTTTAATCTACCTTCTTTTGGATTCCGCCGCAGTCAGGTAATAAACTAAAAGCTGGATAAGGCTAATATTTTGTTATATTGTTATGATTAATAATTATTGTAAACTAAATAAATTCCTTCCTAAGTTCCTTTAATTATAAAACTTTTAAATTGTTAGCAGGATGGACGATTGTAAGACATAAATAAATATATTTTTTCTATAAATCGGTCTTTTAATTCACTACCCTAATCCACCATCCTGTTAACAAAATAATCAGTCGCAATAATCAATCGGTTTTTTAATTCGCCATTCTAATATACCATTCTGTTCACAAAATAATCAGTCGGTCTTTTAATTCACCATTCTAATATACCATCCTGTTAACAAAATAATCAGTCGCAATAATCAGTCGGTCTTTTAATTCACCATTCTAATATACCATCCTGTTAACAAGAAATAATCAGTCGGTCTTTCAATTCACCACCCTAATCTACCATCCTGTTAACAAAATAATCAGCCGGTCTTTTAATACACCATCATAATATACCACCCTGTTCAAAAAATAATCAGTCTGTCTTTCAATTCACCACCCTAATCTACCATCCTGTTAACAAAATAATCAGTCGCAATAATCAGTCGGTCTTTTAATTCATCATTCTAATAAAACATCCTGTTAACAAAAAACTAATCAGTCGGTCTTTTAATTCACCACTCTAATATACCATCCTGTTAACAAAATAATCAGTCGCTATAATCAGTCGGTCTTTTAATACACCATTCTAATATACCATCCTGTTAACAAGAAATAATCAGTCGGTCTTTCAATTCACCACCCTAATCTACCATCCTGTTAACAAAATAACCAGTTACAATAATCAGTCGGTCTTTTAATTCACCATTCTATGATCTATCATCCTGTTAACAAAATATAAGTCCTATCAAAAGCCTATCTAAAGTGCACTGCTGAATTACCACATAGGTGGGATATTTGCCATAGAAATTTTTTTTTATTTTGAGTTGTTATCAAGAAGATACTGTTGTCTATGTTCTATTTCATTTCCCTCTATTATGTCTTCAATAATCGACAGAATGATATGAGGTAGTGAATTCTTTATGCCGTCACTACTCGGCGAACATAATATCAGTTATCTAAAAAAAGGATTTCTCTTTCATATCAAATAAGGAAGAGAATTCGATTTCTTGAAATCCTAAAGTAGGACATGATCATTGTTGTTGCGTTTTTCTTTCATTTCGAGTAAGGGAGACAATTCTTTCTCTCGGATTCTCTGACGTAGTTAGAAAAGAAATACATTCCTGTTTCGTATAGTTCAAAGGAGAAAATTTGACTCTTCGTAGTCTTTAGTGTAGTAAAAAATTTAAGCTTTAAAAAAAAGTCGGCTCCGAAACACTAAAAACAATAAAATATTTTTACATGACAGTGTAGTGGCGGTGTCAGAATAGCCAATATCTCATATCGGCCCGAGGGTGTCGCAAGAGGCGATAGAAGAAGAATGAAACGGGAAATGGGCAGCAGCGTCTTTCTGATTCAACAAGCCCGCCAGCCAAGCGTAGCTTTTTTTTTTTTTTCTGAATGAGTATGCTGTTGGCCCTGCGGCCTTGACAGCTTCGTCTAATTAGGTTCGTAAGTGAGTACTTACGAACTATTGAGTGCAACGATTCTGCCGTCGGCGAGGCTTCGCCGACAGCAGTCCCGAGGCACCCCGACCCCTGCTTTCGGAGTGAGGCTCCTCGAGCTAGGGGGGGGGGCTCGATGCGATTCAAGGGCCCCTCTGAAGGAGGTACGAACCTCGGCTTGAATCGCTATCGCAATTTTATTAACGAGTCGCAAAAAGTTAGAAACGCCCCGTATCACGGGTGTTAAACCTCGTGTACGGAGTGTGTCTATGACGTCGCATTCGCCGGCGATTGCGGTGTGCCCTAGTGTTCTGTGCTAGAGTAGTGTCTGAGTGTGTGCAAGTGTTTATATTTACTAATCTAGTTCCCTCACCTGTGGAGGGGGGGGACGGGATCGACCTATTTATGGAAGTGATCTCATCATCGGGATCAAGGAGAACGT